TAGTTATTTATTAGTACTACTAGTATTATTTATTTATTATTTAGTTAGTTATAAATAAAGTATATGTATTATTAGTTAGTTAATTATACTAATAATAACTTAATTACTTTACTTTATTTATATATATATATATATATATATATATATATCATGGAGGCCCATTGTGCACATGGACCCGCCATATTTTTAGAAGGTGGGGCCCATGATTGCCTCCCTTGGGTGGCATGCCCCATTTTTTGGTGATATGGCATGTGGCCATATGGTTGGAAGATATTAACTAAATATTGACTTGATATATCTTTGAAAGATTTTGTGGAAAGATTGAGTAGACTTGTGCTATTTTATGGAATGCACAACATTTTGATTAGATTTAATTTATTTAATTTCTATTTCCGACATTTATTTAATTTTTCTCACCTCATAAGTCACCCTTGATCGATGGTCTATGTTCAATCTTACAAGAAGAGGCAAGCCAAAGAAAACCCTAAAAAACCTAATCTTATTCAAAGCCTATAAAAAGGGATTTTCTCTACCAAAAAATCTTTACACATTATCTTTATATCTCTCTCTCTTAAAAAAGTTGATCTCTCTCATGTTTGATCTATCTCTCCCACATTGTGAAAGAACTTAAGGGTTTAGGTTGTGAAATTCTTCTCTCTTATCTCTCAAATATGGACTTATGGCTAAGGGTTTTATGGTTTAGCAAAAAGAGAATCCATCTATTTCAAACTAGGTTGCTAAGAGAATTCACCTAGGGTTTGAGTTTGTGATCAAAGGGGTTCATGTTCTATTAGTGTGGTTTGGTTGAAATTTGTTTTCCCAGTTCGAAATTGAAGCTAGACTGTTGATCCCACGCCATCAAATGGTGGTGACTCGATATGAGGTGTAATAAGCCCGGTTGAAGTAATCTCCGGCACTCTTCCTTCTATTTCTTGCAATTTTATCTTTTATTCTCAAGCATAATGCATAGTTGTTTTAATGGTATCAAGTTGTTAGGATCTTGGTTTTATTGTTAGGCTGATTTTATTTTTAATTTTATCTTATTATAATAAAAATCACATGTAAGTGATCTTTTACCAAAAGAAAGGGGTGAAGGAAAAAAAAAATAAAAAAAATGTATTCTCCGATAAAAGATCACATAGGTCTTTCTTTCAGATGAAACTATCGTAACTCAAGGTTGTGTGTCATTTATAGCCGTTTTAAAATTAAATCAAAGAATATAAGTATTAAATTGTTAATCTTTGATAGTTTTTCCTATGAAAAAAGGCCTTATCAGGAGGTATACTCTTTTTCTTTTCGATAGCTCAGTGGGGAAAGGGTTCCCTGCCCGTAGTAGAAACTCAAGACATCATATTGTGGCATCATCTACCTTGACCGCATGTGCCTTGACTCCATCCCTTGCTGTGAGGTTTACTCAATATTAAGAAAATATATTTTCAAGCACATTCATAATGCGATGTGAATTTTTTGTTGAGATTTGTCCATGGTTTGAAGAGGTTACTTCCCCAATATTTGAGGTTTTAAAAGTAACTCCAGCTAGATTGGGTTTTCCTCGGGGGAGTAAATAAACAATATACTTGGGTAGGAGCACGGAAATTTGGGTATTTTGCAATAAGTGGGAGTGTACCCAAAGAATGTGTGCTCCTACAGGAGTATACTGTCCATTTACTCCTTAGAATAAAACTCAATACAGGAGTAATTTTAGGACTTCAAAATTTGTTGATGTGACCTTTTCAACTTATAGACTAAAATCGATTCATTTTATATATATATTTTTTAAATTGCGCTCTATATGGGCTTGAGAAAAATAATGTCTCAAGATGGAATAGAGACTATCCAATTTTTAGAAAGTGAGATCTAAATATTAGAGAGCTCAAAATCCACATCTTTTATTTTGAAAATAATCATGTAGTGATCATCAGGTGGTTACCAAACTTTAGATCGAGAAACTCTTCCTAAGTACGTCCTCTGTCTGAGAGAGTAAGTGTACGGTAATGAACCCGCAAGGGCAAAAGAGATGTTATGCTATAATATATGATTATTTCACTTGTCATAAGGAGGCCGCAATCATCTATAGTCGTCAACATGAGTCTTGTCAATGAGCCGATTCAACATCCAATGGTTGAAATTGATTGTAACCTTATTGTACCAAAGTTAAATTGTCTCATTATATATTTCTATGATAACTCTTTGTTAATGAGTTGATTCAATATCTGATGGCCAAGATTGATTGTAACCTTTTTGTACCTAAGTTAAATTGTCTTATTGTATTTTTTCCTATTATAACACATACACTTTTTTTTTTTGGAAACTCTCTCTCTCTCTCTTGTGAACAGATATGGAAACATACTTGGCAACTCTCTACATAGAAACTGTATCCTAGACCTGTCAGTGTCTAATTGTATACTTTGTCTACATAGAAACTGTGTCATCCAGTTTTAGTAAGTATTGATTGTACAGTCTCTATAAAAATATCATTGTATTGTAATATGATCGGATGAATGGAAATACAATAAATGGTTATTTCTCACAGGTCAAAGAGCCTTGGTTAAAAAAAAAAAAATAAATAAAATTGGTGGTCCCATTATTTCTTGGTGACCCACTATATATATATATATATATTTTTTTAATCTTTTATTCTCTATCCCTCTCTCTTGGTCTCTCTCTTTGTCTCTTATCTCTTTGCCTTCACTCCTTCACCTATCTTCGTTAACCTCTCTCTCTCATTCATTTTTTTTTAAATGGAAAAATTTGAGTCTTTTCAACTTGTACCCGTTAAACTCAATGGCACCAACTATACTTTTTGGGCCTCTTTTATGCGGAATGTCATTCATAGAAAAGGCCTCCTTGGATACATAGATGAACCCAGAAGAAACCTGATGAGCCTGGAAAAATAGAAGAATGGGGCATAAATAATGCGCGAATTATAGTATGATTAATGGGCTCATTTGAAACTAATATAGGGGTCAATTTAAGCATTTTCAAAACTGCTCGAGAAGCATGAAAATTTCTTGAGGAAATTTATAATCAGACTAACTGAGCACGAAAGTACCAGTTGGTACAGGAATTTCGCTCCCTCAGACAGGGTGAGCAGGCAATTCAGGATTTTTACTCCACTATGAAATCACTTTGGGATGCTCTAGCAATGATTGAACTTGCAATTGAACATGGTCCTAGGGCAGAAATAATCACCAAATCTCGGGAGGACTCTCAAGTTATTGAATTCTTAATGGCACTCCGTCCAGAATTTAAGAGTGTCAGAAATGGCCTGGTCCACATAAGCTCTCTCCCTACTCTAAATCAAGCTCTTTCTAAGCTTAATTGCAGAAGAAACCAATAGCAAATCTCTTAACTCAAGTTTTAAAGGAGATACCATTTTGTGGCAATCCGACCTCGGAAGTCCAATATGCTTAAACAGAATCAGCGCAATTCGTCTTATCTTCCTGCCAAGACCATGCAATCAGTCAGATGTAACTATTGTAAAAAACTGGGACATTTCAA